CTTTTTGGCTGCATATTTTAAAATAAGGTATTTTTGTCTGGTGTCCAGGGGTAAGCAGTGGGCTTCACATAACTAACTGTCAATTGGGCTTGATCTGAAAACTCCTGTGGCCATTCTGATTCAAGCGTTTTGTACAGTGTTGAGCGTTTTTAAGGTATTTTAGTTGTATATAAAAATAGGCTGTAAATGGTTGATCCGTAGTCCAATTTTGATTGTATCAGGGAGTTATGAAGGATTATGAGAGTTTTGCGGTCGGCTCCCCATTGGAGGTGACTAACGGCTTTGATTATGTTGAGTTTTTTGGATGAGGCTGCTTTCAATTTTATAATGTGTTCTTTCCAATTGAGTTTGTGGTCAAATGTTAAGCCTAGCAGGTGAAAGATTTTTGTGTTGGGGAGAGTAATACCTTGTTTTTTTTTATCTCTGGGGCTTCGATTTTATTTTGTCTGTTAAATAAAATCGATTGGCATTTTGTGGGAGAGAACTTGAATTCTGTCTCTATGGAAAATCAGTTGATTTTATCAATTACTCTTTGCATGATTGAGCTGGTAGTTTTGATGTTAGATCCAGACTACAGTCATCGGCAGATAATATAGTTTTGACGGGTGACTTAATGTATTTCCTAATATCATTGATGGCTATTAAAAACTGTGTCACGCTTAATGAGGACCCCTGCGGAAATCCATATTCCACTTCAAATATCAATGAAAGGGAATGTTTCACTTTAACTTTAAAGGTCAAGAAGTTGTTTATACATTCGAGGATGTTGTCTTTGTCATTAAATTTTTGGAGTGTGGAGAGCACAATATGCTTCCGAATTATGGCACAGGCTTTCGCGAAATCTAGAGATTTTTTCGAAAGCCGAATTATGTCACAGGCTTTCGCGAAATCTAGAGATTTTTTCGAAAGCCGAATTGGTGTGGTAAAAAGAGATTGTGTGTTTCTAAATGCGATGTAAGTCTGATGTTGATTATGCTCTCGAAGGTTTTGCTCATTATGTTTATAAGCGATATTGGCCTGCAGTTGTTGACTTCAAAAGGGCATTTACCTGGTTTAGAGATAGGAATTATGAATGATGTTTTCCATTATGTGGGAAAAATATTATTTCTCCAGATAAAGTTGAAGATTTTGAGTAAACTGTTTAGTGATGATTGAGATACATTTAGGGGAAAAGAAAATGGTATTTCGTCAGGACCGGTGTTTTTGTTTCTCAGTGAGGTATTAAGTTCATTGATCGAAAAGGGTGAATTTACTGGGTAATCTGAGTTTTCTTCATCGAATTTGATTGTTGTTTTTAAAGTGACAAAGTTTTGACTGTAGTTTTCATTGCCATTGTTCAATTGGAAAAAGGATCTAAAAGCGTCAGCAATTTATTTTTTGTTTGTTATAGTTTTGTTGTTGGAATTAATTGTTTTTGTTATTGCTTTTTATGCTGTTGATCTTGGACCACATTAGGCTAGAGGATGTTTTGTGATTGATGCTGGAAGCAAAACTTTTCCACTATAAGGTTTTACTAATATTCATTGTTTGGCGTGAAATCGCTCTGCATTTTTTGAGTTCTATATGGTCTGATTGAAGTTTTGTTTTCCTAAAGCGATTTAATGCTTTGTTTGTAGTTTTTGATTGCTGTTTAACAAGTTTCATTCTACCTGGGGACGTTTTTTTTGAAAAGAAGGTTGACTTTTACTAATTGTGGATTCAGCGGCTTCGGTAATAATGCTTGAGAATGTTTTAACAATATTATCTATATCGGTTGGGAGATTTGGTTGGAGTAGGGTTTCGAATTGTTTGGTTGTTAATAGGTAATCGACAGTGTTAGAGAAAGCGGACCAGTTTGGGATTCGTAGGAGCCATTTGGGAGTTGATTTTTCTGTTGGTTGGGATTTGAATAGTTTTTGGGTGATCGGCCAGTGATCATTGCTACTGTATGAAGCTTGAACTGACCAGTCTATTGATCCTCCTAATGATGTTTATGCAATTGATAAATTAGTGGCGGAGAAGTTATTGTGGGTTGCATTATGTCTTGTGTAATTACCATCGTTGAGGACTATTGAGTCGTTCTCTAAAAGTTTTTTGATAGTTCTTCCACAGTCAGTGTCAGTGCAGTTGGATCCCCATAGAATTTTTCTACTATGAAAGTCTCCGAGTAGTATGAAAAGACGATGTAGTTGTTTTATGAGGTTTTCGTGATCTGTAAGAGTGAGATCTGCGCTATCCGGTTCGTATCAGTTACATATACATATTTTTTTACCGTTTTTAGATGTTATTTTAATTGCAATAGCTTCTAGTGAGGTATTTAGAGGGAAATTTTTCGGGTTCGACGCTTATGAAGCAAAAATACAGACCCCACCACTGGCTCTGCCGTGATTTTTGCGGTTTTTAAAGTAGCCTTTGTAGTTTTTGAGAGAGGGGATGGTTTTATTGTATTTTAGGTTGGTTTCTTGTAAACACAGGACTGAGGGTTGGAAGTCGGTGATTAGTCGGTAGACATCTGGTAGTTTTTTGAAATAACTATTGATATTCCATTAAACTACTGTTTATAATTATGCTTGATTGTGAGGGGAGGCATGGTTGAAGTATATAATATTGTTGTTTATTGTCATGTTTTTTTTTTTTTTTTGTGAGTTGTGTGGAAGTGTGGTGAATTATTATTTAGTTTGTTTATGCTTCTGATTCGTTAGAATCATAGAAATCTACATTTAAGATTTTTGTAAAACGGGTCAATCTGTTTTTGATGCTATTGTTTTGGAGAGTTGGTTTGATTTTCGTAATGATATCTAACAATTCTTCTTTTGAAATTTTGTATTCGTTGTAAATAGTTGGAGGTTCAAACGGTCCTTGATGATTTTCAAATATATGTTTAAAGAGGTGTAGTCAATTTTACAATAATTTTCTGAGGAAAAATAGTTCTGCAGGTTTAAGATATGTGTCGATGTTTTCGAGAAATTTTGTTATAGACGTCGATTTGGTTTTCGCACTCTTTTTTTCAGTTTTTTCATTTTGAGGGGGGGGGGGGGCTCCTGGTTCAGTATAGGATATTTGACACCTCGTATACTCTAATGAATGGTTCAGGACAAACATCAAACTGAGACGTAGTATAATATTGTTCTATTGTTCCATCTTTGTTACCTAGCTCATAGAATTCTCCATATTTTATTGATACTACTGAAAATAGAATAATTCTTGAATCTCCTCTACCTCCATCCACATCTGGTATGGTGACTCGAACAGTATCACCGATGCCGTAGCGCTTTTATGCTAAGGTCTCTTTGGGACTTGACCATGCTCTGAAAAGTTAGACAAATATTAGAAATATAATATCCTATAATGAGAATTGACAAATAGCGTTGTGGCGTTATGGAGCCAATTAGTGCACGGCCTAACGTATATTTATGTATTAAAGACAATATAGAGTGGTTTTTAATTTAATATTTAATAATTTTTGGGCACATCAAAGAAATATAGTATTTTTGTGTATAATACTATAAAATTATAAGTAATCATTTTATAATAACATAATTAATTTAAATAATCATAATTATGGTTAAGATTAGTTTTTAAAAAAAATTACCTCTTTTCACACAAATTACAAATATGTTATATATTAGCGCCTTCGATTAATTCTGCTTGATAATTACTTCCACAAGACACACATTTTAGGTATTTCTTCATCCTACAAAAAAATAAATTGGTAATTTTATATTGTATTATAACCTTTTTATTATATTTACTATTTACCTGATTAGCATCGACAGAATTTCCTTCTTCACTGTTTACCTTAATATATTGCAATACGTTTTATAAATCTTTTTCTGATGATATACTATATTTGGTAGATGAATAGATGTGGACAATCCAATTTTCATATCACTACCAGACATTATTTGATATGGCAATCTTTTTATCCCACTGTGAAACGTTCTGTTCTTCATTTATTGTATAAACCTCAAACACTCGGACCAAGATTTTGAATTATTTGTTTACATATAAGTAGTTAAAATATTTTGGATATCTTGGTTTGCCCTTGCAACATTACCTTGTGATTGGCTGTGTCGGGGCTTGCCGTGTAAAATTTTCAAATTATTCCACATGCATTTTAAAGCATTAATTATTTGATTTACGAATTTTCTTCCATTATCAGATTGAAGTATCATTGGAGCACCAAAAATACAAAATATGTCTATAATATGTTTCGCAACTTCTTCAGCTCATTTGGTTTTTAAAGCTCTTATTTGTACAAACTTTGTAACATGGTCTTTATAGACAATAATAAAACGATATTCCACGTCTCGTCTGCTTGTGACTGAATGACAATAAGGTCAACTTGAGCTCTACTATTCATTTCAGAGAATATTATTGGTCTTGTAACACGTTTTACTCCGAACACAATTAAATTTCAACTGACGTAATACTCTATAGCCCGTATAGGTTAGGTAGTGCTTTTAATATAAAATAGTTAGAATTTAATATTGGGAAATAAACATAAAAAGTTTACAATAAATGATTGCCAGTTAAGTGGGTAGTGAGAGATGTGTTATAGTGTACCTATTGTTACTATTATTTATTATTATCATAGCTAGTTAAAATGACATCTTAACTTTGTACGATTTTCATAACATAAAAACAGCACCATAAGTTATTTCATATCTTACATAGAGTGATTTTATATTTTGAGTGTTTACTTTATCCAACTACTAAGGATAATGTGCGCTTTAGCCGTAACATATATAATATATATTATAAACTATATTGTAAACTCGCAAGAGTTTAATAAAAGCTAAAAGAAAAAATGTAAATTAAAAATAAAACATTTATTGTGTAAATAATAAAAGATTGACGAAGTTAGAATTAAAAATCTAGTTTTCATTACAACCTATTAGTAACATAATGACGTGTTCTATGTAACACCACCACACTCGTAGGCACTGCTAGTCACTAAGATGAGTCCTGGAAAAATTATTTTCAAGCATCACCTTATAATATGTTTATTTACATAAAAATTAAAAACCATTGTTAACATTTTGACAAATTTCACATTGATTAGGATCACATCCATCAATGCTTCCTTGACATTTTGATTCATTATAATAACCTTGCCTATTTTTAACACAATTTTTGAAAATATGTCCAATTACTAAGACAATTAGTAAACCGGTAAAACCCATAAATCCATAAATCACAGTTTTGGAAATTAAACAATAGTCTTTATTTTCTAAAGTAAAAAGACTTTTATCTGAGGGATGTAATTCATCCCAGTGTATTGTCTTTAAAATCGATTTTTTGTGTTGATTCTGTAAATAAAATACAAATATATTGTTATATTATCATATTTTTGAACTACATAAAATATCATTAATTATTATTCAACATACCTATTATATATCATAATCTATAAGTTTTTATTTGGTTGGAAACTTATTTCTTATTTCATTTCTAGGAACTACATATATCGTTGAAACGTACTTAACGTAACGAAATAGATTTCCATGGAAAACATTTTGTTTGAAATGTATACTATGGTAATGGTTTGGAACTTATAGCACTTATATAATTTTCAAAATGGTCGCTTAAATATTTCAATATAAACACTCAAAAAACTAATAAGCACTTAAAATATTACATTAACCATTAAAATCAAGGTAAAAAATATGAGCACAATTTTTTCTCTATACTATATAAGTTTAATTTTAGATTCTAAACAAAGAGATAAATGTATTGATTTAAAATTTTATAATGATGAATGATTATTTTGTTTTTTTCTGTCTGTCATCAACATTTGAAATAGTAAAAATGTTCCGATTTTCGACATCAGCATCTTTTTTGAAAGAAAAAAAATGAATCTAATTGGCACTTATGGGAGGTCAAAATTTTTTTTCAAAGCAGATTTTGGAAGCGCCTTGAATGACAAAAAAAGTGAAAAAACAATTAATTTTTATGTAAATGCCATTTTTGGAAAAATTAATTTTATCTTTTTTTTTGAAACTCAAAAACTGTAGACTCGTGAAATTTGCATCAAATATTTATTTTAGCATTCACCATGAATAGTAATATTTTTAAATATTTTTCTAATTTTGAGCTATTTAAAGCCTGGAGATAGTTTTCAAATTTTGTAAAATAGTTTATGCATTTAATATTTCTCATAAGTTTCTTTAATGGATGAACAAAATTATTAAAGATTTTAGATTATTATTATTAAATAAGTAGTTAATTGTTACTACTACCTACTAAATATAATAATAAATGTTTTTAATAAGTAAAAATATATATTTTCTTGTTTATGTATAAAAAAGACCCAGCACATTCTGCCCCGAGTCCACAACATAAATAAATCCAACCCTGGTTACGAAAGAATACACTTCCAATAAAATACATTTCTAAATAAATTCATGGTTCCGACATTACATTTTCAAACTGAATGCTTTCTGATGAAATATGTTTCTACTAAATGTGATTAAAAATAAATGTGGTTCCTAAAAATGTTTTTCAAGATTAAATGTTCCTACAAAATATTTTTTGTGAGTGAGTAGGCCATGTCTGGAGGTAAAATGGAATTTTACTGATAGGTAGTCCTGATAGGATAAATAAACGGAAAAAGATCTATTAATTGCCCTAGACAGCGCTGGATATACATGGTGCACAATAATCTAAATAAGTCATCAGAGGGGTCAACAGACAACAATAGTGGCATTGTGGATAGTTGGGTGAAGGAATACAGGAAAGGCAGAAAAAGAACTTCAAAGACCGCAAAAACTGATAAATAGAAGTCCCTATGTTTGTACCTTATACATTAAAAAAATACTTACCGATGTTTACGGAAATGTTTTACGAGGTTGTTCTTAGTAATATCAGAAAAGTTTATAGAATAGCTTGAACTGCTTTCGAAAAAATAACGAGTGCTATGTCTAATCCGACATGGGTGGATTGCCTATCTTGGTCGTAATAGTTCACAAAGAAAATTATACCGATGTCGATTTGCAAGTGAACATAGGTAAGGACACTTCAAAAAAGATACCCCGGATATAGCACTGAATTTTATATTCGTTAATTTTTCCATCGCAAACTCGGGTTATATAGCTAGTTATAATACCTAATATAATAAAATAAATGTGATTTATATTACATACTGATTGATCACCAGCGTATATATAAGGATACAATTTTGGATTCCTGAATACGTTCATTGATTCATCTACTGGTTTATCAACGAATTTATCCAACGAATGAGGGTTGGACATGACCAATTGTATATAAGTACAGAAAAATATAAGTATGCGATACATTTAAGAATATTACATTTGTAGAATTAAGCTTTGTTATAAACAATACTCTAAGCAACAGAAAATGTTTGGTTTTTTAATAATTTAATATGTTTTATGTTTGAAACAAATGATTAATATTAGTTAAAACCTAAAAGATATAAACAGTGGTCAATGTTGAACAAAGATAACCAAACAATTATTTAGATAAGATAATAGATAATCCATTAAAAAAGTTATCTAGATAAGATAATAAATCAACGGCGAGATACAGTTATCCCGATGTGGTGACACAGCCGGTATCACCACTCGCTATCGCGAGTCAGTCTGACCCGGCGGTCGTAGTGGTTTTGTATTCTCTTTGTGTTATTGTATATATATTCCGCGAATTATTGTCCCCGCCGAACGCTCGACCGTTTCGGCGGTCAACCGACTTTCGCGCCCGAGTCTCAAGATTTTTGTCCGTTCTTCTTTTTTCTACGCCCGACTCGTCAAGTCGAACTTTTGTTTTGTCACAGATTTCTCCACGAACCCTCGCGACAAATCTTGTGATCCGCACAGTTAATGTACACCATTGTTTTGAACCGTATTGATTTTGTTTAGTTTTAAATCAAATAAAAACATCGTAAGGGCAGCGTATTTGTTGTACGTTTACCGAAAATATCCGAGTACTCTTTTTATTCGATTTTGCACTCCTCGTGCAAGTACTCGAACGCGTTTCTTACGCAATAGTAAATCATTGGTCGGTAACCGGCATAGACCTTATACTAATAGACTGGCCTTGCCTATAGAGTTGCTGTGGTAGTAGCCGGTCAGACATACAGCAGTGATGTACAGTATAATCACATCAGTGTAGTCATTTTCCGTTGAGTACAATGTACAATAATACCGTACTATTATCATTTATCTTTTTTCTTATGGGAATTGGGAATTGGGATGGGCTTTCATGGCACTGTAACTACTAACTACTATTTATTAACTAATTATATATTATATATTTATATATAAGTTGTCTCCTCGCAGTCTTAGCGTTCAGACGTGTTTTCTTTGTGTCGTACTACCTATATTATCTCGCTGCGTATTATCGCTCTTATTTTAGTTGTGCGTTAATTATGCCGTCGTCATCGGGCGGCACAAATCGTGCCGGCCAAAATCAGATTTCAAACAAGCTTAAAAATCAACAAGTCAAAAACACTGCCGGCCCCGGTTACCAGGTAGTCGGCAAAAATGGTAAGCCAATCAAAAATACTTCTTGTCCAGTTTCACCAAGTTTTCAACAAATTATTGACAACCCGCCGACTCTAGATATATTAGCTCCGCATTTAATTATAGCTCTTTATCTACACAAACCGCAATTACGCCTGGGTCTACGGCTATCGATATGGATGTGATCGTTAATGATCGTTCTAATGAGTTCGATACTGGTTCTACGTCTTCTTCACTCAATGCTACTTCTATTCAATCTACCTTCCCTACCAACAACGATATGTCCAACACTAATAAACATATCAACTTATTACAAAAGTCGTTTGCGCCAGATTATATCGGGCCTATAACCATTCTCGTTGAAAGTACGGACGCTAATATAAATTTAGGAAACTGGCATCCTATTAAGGCCGCTAAATTTTTCTCTAACAATTTCTCTGGTATTACTAATATTAAACCTGCGGGTTCAAAAAAAATAAAAATTTCTTTCGACACAATTTTTAATGGTAATTGCTGCTTGAATTCAAACATCTTAAATGAGAATAACTTTAATGCAATTATACCTTCTACGCTAATTTTTTCTTACGGAATAATAAAATTAGACACTGCAGTCTCAGAAGCTGAATTTGTCGAAGGCGTCCGATCTTCAGTCAAAATTGATGCATTCAAACGCGTCAGTATTAAAAAAGATGATAAAATCGTTTAAACCCGTATAGTTGAACTTAAATTCGTCGCTTCGAAAATACCATCCATAATTTCTGTATTTAATATGATTTTTGATGTCAAGCCCAGTGTCCGGTCTCCCGTTCAATGTAATCGTTGTCTACGTTTTGGACATACACAAAAATATTATCGTAGCTGTCCCAGGTGCAGTCACTGCGGTGAAAACAATCATTCGGTTGATTTATGCCCACGCGCTCAAGCCACTGATCCTGTATGTCTCTTCTGTAAGCAACCTCACTTAGCCACTGATCGTAGTTGCCGTGAATGGTCCACTCAAAAAGAAATTAAACACATCATGGCCACCGAAAATATTTCCTATAAGGATGCCTTAATTTTTAAAAAAAATAATTGTTACACTACTGCTTTTTCTTTTTCCGATATTGTTAAGAGCCAGCCTCCAATTTCTGAAATATTAAAACCAAATATCTCTCTAGAGGAAGAAAACTTCCCCAGGCTAAATAATCACCATCATTATTTCAATTCTAGGAAGACAAAACAAAAATCTCGCTCCCCGATTTATAAAGGCAAATTAAATTTACCAGTTGAACCTCATTTTTCTTCACCTAATGGTTGCTGTTTAACCAATCTCCCTAATCAAAGCCTTACCGAAGACAATAACTCTGCTGATCTATCTTGGATCCATTCTCTTTCTCTTAAGCTCTCTGAATATCTTATAAATTCCCCCTCCCTATTTTCCCCTTTCTCACCCGCCTCTCTTCAGTCCCTAATTGAATCTTCTCTAAATTCACTCCTTAATATTCCAGATTCTAATTTCACTTCTGATTAGTCTTGTATTATACACCAAATGTCCTCACCACAGTTTAAGAAAATACTAAATATATTTGACTCAAAAACTAACATATTACAATAACAAAATAATTTAAAATTACCATGGCATTTTTACAAAAATATAAAAACCAGAATATTTCCAACAATTACACTAACATTATTCAGTGGAATGTGAGAAGTCTCCCTGCACGTCTCCCATCCTTACAACACCTCCTATCCGACCATAAATGCTTAATTTCACTTCTCTCTGAAACCTGGCTTTTACCTTCAAGCGCCCTTACAATGCCACAGTTCAAAATCTATAGATCCGACCGCTCAGATGGCTATGGTGGTGTGGCTATTGCTGTCCAAAACTCCTTCAAATCCAAACTAATTCCTTTAGATATCGCTACCAGAAATAGATTTACCCACTGTAAAATTGACATCATAGGTATCGAAGTGCATCTTATCAATTCACACCCTCCTTTAAAATTTTGGTCCTGCTACATCCCCAGTAATTCTAATGTTCCTTCCAATTTATGGCATGAATTTTTTAACCTGATATCGCATAATACGCTACTTGGTGGCGATTTTAATGCATTTCATCCCGCTTGGGGCTCTCAACTTGCATCCCGCCGTGGTTCTCTGATCTATGATTACATTAACTCATTAGGTCTTTGTTCTCTCAACGATGGTAGTCCTACACATGTGGGTCGCCCCAACTCAACTAACTCAGCAATTGACTTATCTTTTTGTTCCCATGATATAATCTGGTATCTATCTTGGCAAGTCCTCAATGATCCTCACGGTAGCGATCATATCCCCATTATCATAACAGCTAATTTTAACAGGATCACTGATCCTGTACCATCTTGTTCCGCCTTGAATTCCTCACCTCCAATCTACTTACCTTTCAACTTCAATAAAGCCAACTGGTCATCGTATTCTCTTCAAATTCATAATTCTATCTCTTCATTGACAAATTCTTCCTCTCCAGTTTTTTCCTATTCTACCTTCACTAGTATTATAAGCAACTCCGCCGATTCTACAATTCCTAAGAAAAGATTAAATACCAATCCTTATCCACCCTCCCCTCCCTGGTGGAATTCGGACTGCACCGAAGCTGTCAAAAACAGAACCCTTCTTTTTAGAAACTTTCGTCGCTCAAGCTCCATGTCTGACTTTATTAATTACCGAAACGCTTGTGCCCAAACCACAAGGCTATTAAAAAATGAAAAGAGGAAAAAATGGAAAAAATTTTGTTCAAATTTAAATCCATCTTTCCCCATACATCACCTTTGGTCAACAGCTAAGCGCTATAAAAACTGTATCAACCCTGTCAGACCTCCAGATAATGACGATTGGTTCGACTCTTTTTGTTTTAAAGTCGCTCCGTGCTATGTCCCTTCTATATCAGATGTTTGCCCTTCTGATCACTCTCTATACTCTCCACCTCATGTTCTCACTAATATTTTTACTATGTCAGAATTAAATTTAGCCATATCTTCATGGAAATCTACTGCGTCCGGTCTTGACAACATATCACCTATTATGCTAAAACACCTCCCTTCAAATGCTCTGGTTTACCTTTCATCTATTATGAATAACATTCTATCATCTAATCAGGTTCCTCCTTCGTGGACATCTTATCGTGTCATCCCTATCCCCAAACCTAATTCTAATGTTTCTTTTCGTCCAATTGCTCTCTCTTCCTTTCTTTGTAAAGTTTTTGAATATATGCTGAAAACAAGACTTGATTGGTGGCTAGAATCCAACTCTGTCTTACCTGCAAATTTGTTTGCTTTTAGGAAGGGTTTGGGTACCATGGAATGCCTCTCGACTTTCATTGATAACATTTACCATGCTTTTAATAATAAGGAATTCCTTGTCGCCACATTTGTTGACATCCGCGGCGCCTTCGATTCCGTGAACATTCCTACCCTCATTACCTATCTTCTCTCATTAAATGTCCCCCCTAAGTTCTGTAATGTTCTGTCTGCTCTCTTCAATTTCAGAAATCTTGTTTTCTTCTCTCCCTTTGGATCGTCAAATACTCGATCCACTTTCACTGGCCTTCCACAAGGTAGCTGCCTTAGCCCAATCCTATTCAATGTATATATGAGTATTGTTGAAAAGCATCTTTCTCAGTCTGGTCATGAATGTCTTATATACGCTGATGATTTAGTAATATTCTCTTCTAATAAACATCTTAACCTTACTATTGATAACCTCAACTCTGCCCTGAAGGATCTGAATGATATCCTAATCAAAGTGTCTTTTGATGTTGCCCCTGAAAAATGCAAATCGATCATTTTCACTCGTCGTAGATATTTAAACAACCTTAATACACATCTCAACAATTATGTTATCCCTTTTGTTCCCAGTATTACCTATCTTGGCATCACTCTCGACCACGATTTAAGATAGTATGGTTGCACAACGACCTATTAGAAAAATGTTATCACACGGCATACGGTTTGAATCGAAAAGTCACGTGATCTACGGGGACCCCCGCATACAGCGCTCATAACAGTTAAAATGAAAACTAATAGGTATAAATATATTTATAATAATCGTATATTATAATTTATAGGTAATAATAAATTATAATAATATCGTAGTCAGCCGTTCTTCATTTTAACTAGCCCTCTGGTCTACCTGTGAGTTTATGCAGTAACAAAATTAATAATAGTACCTTATTACCAACTACATTAGTACATTGCTACAATTTTTCTGTTTTCGAGTCATCTTGTAAAATTGTTTAGTTAAGTCAGTTTAGTTATTTAATTATATTTTTAAAATATAACTATTAGAAAAATGCCAGTATCATGTTGTGTACCTTTGTGTCCATCTAAATCCAATTCCTCAAAGACTAATTTGTTTCAAGTACCTACTAATGATGTTTTAAGGATTCAGTGGGCAAATGTTTTAGGAGTTACTTTTAAAAAATATTCAAAAGTATGTATTAAACATTTTAAAAAGGAAGATTGTAATTAGTACTTGGGAGTCTGGCAAAGGATTCAGCAAGTACACAGTCAGTATAAAATTATAATTAATTTCTGTTTTATTATTTTTCTTAAAATGAATATTATATTGTTCATTTTTAGATTTGTTTCAATAGAAGAGTAGAGGATATCTTACCCATCCAGACAGCAATCTGTTCCAAATTATAAAAGCATTGGAAAATTCTCTTACAAAATGTATTGATTCTCCAAATGCTTTTGAAGAAACCTATGAAGACTTCTGTAATAAAAATATTTATTTTGAATTTCCATGTGCAGAACACCGGCTGACTATATTAACGGATATTTGTACTCATTATATAATAATGAGAATGCGACAATACACTTTTATGCAAAACCAAAACAGCAAAAAATTAAACAAAACTAAAAAAAAATTATCTAAATTAGTTAACACATAGATATAACACATAGTCAACCCAATTACTTAGTTAAACCATAAAATAAATATAATTTCTCCATACTACAAATATGTATAATACAGTTTTGATTTTTAGTTATAATATTTTAAATACTTTGTAGAATTTGTTAATAACAATTATGTTTGTCTATTGAATAATAAATAATATTTATTATTATTAATTAATTAGGTAATTATATAAATATAATATATTATGTTGACTCAAAATAAAACTAAAAAAAATTGTTATTAGTACCTATATTCTAAGGCCGCTTCATAAATAATAATATATTATTGTAGTAGTACTTTTAATAGTCCACTAGAAGCGCTAGCAGCGGAGGTCCGATTTAAATTCGATGCCGTCTTATCATAGCTCGTTGGGCAACCATACTATCTTAAATCGTGCTCTCGACCCCAAATTGCGCTGGATTCCACATATTTCAACTCTCACGGCGTTTGTTTCTCGATGGTCCAACTTCCTCCGATCGGTAACTGGTACTTGGTGGGGCTCTCACCCTTCAAGTCTATTATCTATATATTTGTCTATTATACGCTCCAAACTTGATTACGGTTGCTTGCTTTTCGGATCGGCTTCCTTTTCTAATTGGAAAAAAATCAATAAACTCCAAGCCTCAGGCATCAGAACCATTATGGGTTACGTCAATTCTACACCTTGCCCTGCTATGGAGGTTGAATCTACCTGCCCACTATTTAATATCAGATGCCGCTGGCTTGCCGGCAAATTTCTCTTGAAATCATTATCCTATAGCGATCACCGTATCTTTGACACTTATTACTCACTGTACCTTAATTGGCGATATGTTCCTAAATCTATGCCCGTATTATCAGTTATAGCTCATTCTATCTCAAATTTCCACCAATATATTATTAATTCAACTAAACTCCCTCTTTATGAGCAATCCTACGACTCTCTTATCTTTCCCCCTCAGATTCATTCTGATAATAAATTTTTTGATCTATCCTCCAATGATTTTAAATTTATGTCTTCTTCCTCGGTCAATGCAGCCGTTTTGAATTATCTTAATGAACGCTTTTTTCTTAAAAAAATAGATACCAAACGACATTAAAAACATAACAATTTATTATGTAATATAATATTCAAAATAATAAAAATAAAATAATTGTATTAAATTTGAACACACATTTTTCTTTCTTAACAAAATAGATATTAGATACCTACTAAACATTTATAAATTTATAATGTAATATAATATCCAAAATTATAAAAATAAAAATTAACTTGTCTAGAAAACAATATCTGTTAGGTTTTTTTAACATATAAAAAAGAAATTAATTAATATGATACTTCATTATTTTTTGCAATTATTAAAATTATAAATATACTATGGCCTAACCATACAATTTTCTCACCTAATATTATTCATTACTGAATAAAATTAATTTGGTAAGTTTTTTCCTAATACCTAAATGCATTTTTTCTTGTTGTTTTCCAATGCTTTTTAATTTAAGGTGTACATAAGAACTTATAATTAATGTTAATAGTTGGTCCCTATGATTAGTAAACAATGACTGGCCACTGACATGATTATCCATCCCACTAAATACAGACCCATACAC